TTTACTCTTCACTTGCATGCGTTGTTAATCGTGTTTTCTTTGGAGAACCCCAAAAACAAATGTTTTAGCCGATGACCCAGAGGGAGTTTTTTTCGAAATTTTGATTTCAGATCTACGCTCCCTAGAGACTATTTCGCAAAAACAAATTACATTTTTAGAATGAGAGTACGAAAATCTATCAAAAAATGAAAACTTTTTTATTTTTGCCGGTTTTAATCTTCAATGTTCTTTGACATTTACCCACTTAATTTACATTCCTTTCATTTTAATCCCTTAATTAGTTTTATATATATATATACATACTTGCTAATTTTATTTTTAATTTATCACTTTTTTAATTTTTCTCTATTTATATACGTTATTACCCATATATATATATTTATTTTCTTAACATTTTTATTATTACTATTATATTTATTATTATTTTTACTATTATATTTTCCTTTTATTCTACTTATTTATATTATATATGTATATTTTTTATATTTTATTAATATTATATTTTTTACTTTCTCTTTCTTTTTATTATTCTTGTATTATTACTTGTATTATTTTTATATTATTTATTTTGTTATATATATATATATATATACGTATGTTCTTTTTAAATATTTTAATTTTTATACCTATTATTAATATATATTTGGTTTTTTTATTTTAAGTGCTATATTTTATAATATTATACATATATTTTTCTATTAATTTTCTATATTTTTTATTATCATTATATTATATTTATTTTCTTTTTTTATTGATATTATTGTTGTTATATATACATTTTACTATTATTATTATTATTATTATATATATATATATATTCTACACAAGTTAATTATATCTACCTACTTTGTCCCCGCCCTTATCATTTTGTTTTCCTGTCAATTATACTTCACCAAATCTTACTTTCTTTTTTTCTCTTTTCGGTGTGATTGTCTTTTTTTAACTACTTATTATCATTATTAGTATTGTTACTATATATATATATATATATATATATTATAATTATCTTTATTTGTTTTTTTACCATTATATGTGTATATGTTCTTTTCGTCATTTAATTTATTAATTTATATATATTTACTTTTTTATTTATTATATATATATATTATTTGTACTTTGTTATTATTATTTTGTTTATTTGTTTTATTTATTTTCTTTTTCTTTTTTATATATATTTTATTATTTATTTTTTTACTTACTATTTTATCTTTGTTTTCTTCATTTTATCATTTTACTTAATTTGTTTTCTTTTCTTTTCATTTTAATTTAATTAATTTATTTCTTACCATTTTATCTAACATGACTTTTTTACTTTCTTAAGGGTACATTTTCAATCAATCAAATGTAAGTTTTGGATCGTTATTTTACCTTTCAATTTAAACTTTCAACTTTCTTAATAAAAGACAACTGGAAATTACATAGTACCGAAAGGGCGGTTCAAGGGTGCTAATCCTTCCTTGACCGTAACCGACTCCCGGATCCGACATATCACTGGTAAGACGCAGATCAGATAAGACATAAAGTATCCGATCAACTCACTTTTCGTAAAGTAAATGATCGGTGGCGACTCCAATCCACATTTTTCAAGTCGAAGCCCAATTTCGAGACTCAACCGAAAGACGGTTGCGACACAAATATTATTTTATAATTCATTTAGTACTATTAAAAAAATTGAGAGTTGAATATTTACTAACAGAACCAATATTTCATTATGAAAACTGAAATCTTAAACCAACTATAAAACATAATACTAATGTTAATTTACTTGTTATTGTCGCGTTAAACTAGTGTTTTTTTAAGTTGGGAAAATGGTAATGGTACAAGAAAGGGGTCCGACTCCGACAACAGTTGGTGGGCAACAAATAACTATGTATTGTTTTCTTCTTTCTCTCTCGCTCACCAACCGCCTCTTTTGGCGGTGTCCCCACTCGCCCCTACACAAATATCCAGCTTCCAGATTCTCCTCGCTTTTCATCCAACCATTTCTTTAAACTACCCTCCAACTTTTATTTAATTACCGTTTCTCCTTTATATTCTTAAAATCTGACATTTGAACCCTCAAACTCTTAATTTCTGTGAAATAAATCTTTTCATCGATAAAGTAGTCAGCTTAAATTTTAGATGTGTAACATTTTCATTTTTATTAAACATACACTTTCACTTAAAGTTAATTTAATTGATTATGCGAACGAGCAATCCAAATTGATACATTGAATTTATTAATTGTTTAATATTGATTGTACATATAAATACTCGAATTTAATTTAATTTATTATTATTTTGAATATAATGATTAAATTATTTATAACTCTCTAATTTTATATTAAAGATCGTAATCTTCAAGAGGTTATATTGTCGATGTTAATTGAATTAAAACTTAATTAATAAACTTAGTTATTGCTTGTTTTGACATGATTTATTTTATTGGAAGAGGAAGAGATGCACGAAGCTAAGCGTCGGTGGATCTGCCGAGAAGCAGTCAAGAAAGTGTGTTAGATCGCCGAGTTTTTACTTTCCTTTGTCCTTTTGTTCGCGTGGAGAATGATATAATAATATCATAACAACAATAAATGCTGTGAGGTAAGAGGAAGAGTAGGACCAGTCCCTTTTCCTCTTTTTTATTTATTATGACTCAAACAGTGCCAAATAAACATTTCATTTAGTGATGCATTGCTTAAACTCAAGTCAAACACCACGATAACGATACTTTAATTATTACTTTAACGGTCCAAAGTATGAATTACATATAATAAATTATTAATTTATCTAATATGATAAGATCAAATGTTTTATTTTTTTTTATGACAAAACCCAAATCCAATCATTTATAGTTATGAAATTTGAAGAAGGAAATGATGCTTCCTTAATCCTTGCCTTTCACGCCTAGCTTCGAGTATAATTATATATGTTACGGTAAGTTTACTTATAATCACCATTATCTACTTAATAAAATTTATGAATTAAATATATTTGCAGATGAATTGTATAGTTTAATTATGGTTACGTGACCAACTTACATTCAGGTAGTAATTGTCAATCCATTGTTAAGAAAATACATATATTCAGGTAGTAATTACTTCAATACTCTATAGGAATTAAGGATCAATATCATATTTATTGTTGAATACAGATAAATCTATGTTCTAGATTAAGTTATGAAGGTACTTTCCGATCTGATTCTTCCGACAACCACTTCCCCCCCGGGGGGTGTTGAATACGTATAGAGCTTTCGAGAGAGTCCATGCATACTTGGTTAGATGTCTGCCGTCTGATTCCTTTCTCTTGAGATATGCTGAATTGATACTCTTCGATCTCGGTTCAAGTACTCGTCTATATTCTGCAAAAGGGTGCATTATCCTCCATTCTTCCGTCTATCTTTAATTAGATTAACTGTTTCCTTGCTATCTGATTCGATCATTGTTTTATTTTTAATTTTCAGATTATTCGATTATAATTTTTTTCTTAAAATATTTTTCCTTGTATGTATTCTTCTTCTAGAAAGCCCTTTCTGTTTGTTTAATTTTATTTTAACTCCAAATAGTTAAGAAATCGAAAATATACGGCGATGAATGTAGAAAATAATATGAAGGAAAGAATCTAATGTGTCGAACATGTATGGGCCATGGGGTGTATGATATGAAATACAGTTATTATTTTTTTTTGACAAAAAGACATGAAATATAGTGAATGTAAAAGAAGACGACATATGACATATCCCTAGTTATACGCTGTCGTACGGACCCGTTGACCACGAAATCCAGAATATCTTTTCCATGGCGTGAGTGGTCAATTTTATGGCGTTACTAATTGTTTTTGGGTCAAAATCAAGTTTATTGAGGTAGTTATGTTATGCAATAGTATAATTTAAAATTAAAATATTATATTGTTTAATATAAAAGATTATATAAATTTATAATAGTTTTTTATTGTAATTAAAAAATTTATATCGTAGAGGTTTAGGGTTTACAATCAAATTATTACGAAGAATGTAATATTTTTAGTTATAATTTTTTTGTTGCAATCGAAAATATTATTCTGTCTAACATAAAAAATTACACTCTTGGTATAATTTTTTTATTACAATTGATTTTCATCGTTTTTAATTTTATATTAATAAATTATATTTTAAATTTTCTAAATTTATTAGGATAAAAATAAAGAGAGGTTATATGATTCATATTTGACTGTAGTAGAGTCGGTGTTATAAAACTGTCGGTACAAACCAGCCAGACATGCATTTATCAAATAATCCTTCGTCGGCTCCACCCCAAAATCTTACATGGCCCTAGTGGGATTTTTTATCTGGGCATCGCTGCCTTTACTTTGTAGGGTACTGTCCATTAATGGCTCGGCTATGAGTATGACTGCTTGAGACAATTTAATTGCAAAACCAAAAAAAGGAAGTGAAAAACATTCATGGAGCAAATTTAGGTACCACAACTTTGAATCAATAGATATTTGACTGATCATGTGTGGAATTGAAAAAAAATCATATATTTAATAGTTACAGATCATCATAAGACAAGAGAGAATAATTTTTTTAATGTTTCGATTCTAATATAAAAATTAAGATTAACACACCTTCCTTGTAGATTCCTGGACTTACTTTACTGCTACATAATTGAGTGAGCCCGGAAGATATATTTAAACTTGAAACATAGACGACGGAAGGAGGGAGGAAAAAGGAAAAGGATGAATAAAAAAAGCGGCGATCACTTTTTTATTTGTTGCTTTAGTTTGATCAAGGAACAGTCCAAATGCGAAAGGATAAAATTTGAAATAAAATAAGAATAGGATATAATATTTTAGTACCAAAAGGACAATGGCAAATACAATTCTAACAACAAATCCATTTCCAATCCTCGCCGATTAATCTTCAGCGTAAAGAATGTTCCTTTTATTTTTATATTAAAAATAAACGCACGAATTCCTCAACGCTCGACAATTTTACTTTATTAATTTTATTCTTCTCCAATTCTATCACTGTATATATATAACTCAGCTCTCGAGTTCAAGTCCCATCAACTTGTCCACTTCTTCCAATTCCAATTCAATTTCCAGTTTCTTCCATCTTTAATTCTTTGAAAGCTTTGGTTTGATCAAATGGCACTCCTAGTTAACGAAGTTGACACCCTCACTAACCAAATCTTTTCCATCCTTGAGAACAAATTCCTTTTCGGAGATAATGAGAATGCCACTGCTACAAAAACCCATCATGATGATCCTATGAAATCCGGGAATCATTTTTCTGGGAAAGTAAGAATCCTTTCCATTGACGGTGGAAGCTTTTCCGATGGTATATTGGCGGCTCAGTCTCTCCTTACCTTCCAAACTATTCTCCGTCAAAAATCGGGAAATCCCAATGCAGCCATTGCCCAATGTTTCGACGTCGTTGCAGGCTCCGGAGCCGGTGCGGTTCTCGCCGCATTGTTGTTCACTCGGGCTGAAAATGGTGGCCCCCTTTTTACTGCAGACCAAGCTCTTCAGTTTCTTGTCAAAAACCGTCTGAAACTGTTTCCCTCCTCCCCTCAAGGGATATTCCGGCGACTTTTCCGTCCATCTGGGGCGAAGAAACTGTTGGGTAAAACCTTCGGGGAGCTGACTTTGAAGGATACTCTGAAGCCGGTTTTGATTCCCTGCTACGATCTTTGTTCCAACGCGCCGTTCTTGTTTTCCCGCGCTGATGCATTGGAAATGGGCGGTTATGATTTCAAGATGAAGGAAGTGTGCTACGCGACGTCGGCTGATCCGACGGTGGTTGGGGCGGTGGAAATGAGATCGGTTGACGAGAGCACAAAGATCCTGGCGGTGCAAGGCGGGGTGGCGATGAACAATCCAACGGCGGCGGCTATAACACACGTGATTAATAATAAGCAGGAATTCCCGTTTTGTAATGGGGTAGAGGATCTTTTGGTGTTGTCTTTGGGGAACGCGGAGTCTGGTTTCGGTTCTGGCGACGTTACTCTTACTCCGACACGAATAAAGTTTCTTAGAATTGCCGGCGAGGGCGTTTCCGATATTGTAAGTACCAAAATAAAGTCTAAAACATTCTAATCAAAGCAAGATAAATCTTCCATGGCCGAAATTAACAAATACTGTAATTTATTTATATATAGGTTGATCAAGCAGTTTCAATGGCGTTCGGAGGAAGCGGAAGCGGAAACGGAAACAACTACGTCAGAATTCAGGGGAATAGATTGAACTGTAAGACCTCCGATATTCATCCAAAATGTAAAATCGACGCCGTAATGAGCCTTACAAAGGAGATGCTGGTCCAAAGGAACGTGGAATCACATCTTTTCAAAGGCAAGAAGAGGAGCGAGGTGACGAATTTAGAGAAATTAGAGATGATCGGAAGCGAGTTAATAAAAGAGCAAGAAAGAAGGAAAACCAGCTTACTGCCGACGGTGGTGTTGAAGCAGAATCAGTCGGCGGCGACTCCGAGATCGTCATCGGCGTCCGCCACTACCATTTCGAGCCAGTCTTCATGTTAATTCACATTCACCTCCAATTTTTACAACGGCATGATTGTTAGTTCATTTCATGCGAATGCTGCCGCTCGGAATATAATTAATTAATTAATTATTAATTAGTGGCCGGGCCGAGCCGAGCTGTAAACTGTACTTAACTAGTTTCATTGTTTTGTTTGTATGTGAGTGGTTGAGATAATAGGAAGACCGAAGAGGCTTCTATTATATTATTTGTATAGTTTAGATGATTGGTGATCCTAATACATGGAATGAAACTACATTTATTCTTCTCTCCACCTGTCTCTCTCTATTTTTTTATATGATATGGATGGCACGTTAAGATATATGTAATTTTACATTATAAGTATACAATATAAACAAATAAAATTTTAATCAAAGATTGATTTTAAAAATATGTTTCATTCTGTTCTCGAATGATATTTACTTTTTAGATAACTATATTTTTATTCGAGTTTTAGATTTTATTATCGTTTCTGTTAAAAATTACGTTTTATTGAAAGTCAAGTCACATTATCACATCAAAATCTTCATTGCCATTCATGTTGATGATGTTGTTTAGGCCGTGAAGGCACATAATGATGATTGGTGTTGGTGGAAGTGCCGCCAAACTCTTCCAGAAGCCGCTCGATAGTCTTTCTCGATGTAACCTTATCGATCTCGAACGCCCTCATCTCGTCTCCGAGCCCTAACATGCAGGAAACAAATCGAAAACTGGGAACTTAGCTCAATTGTTTCGTGCAATTATATTTATGAAGTAGCATCGAACGTGTCTGAAACTTGAATCCCAACATTTGCCATTAGTACTGTAAAAGATGATTTGGTATAAAGCTGACCTTGTTGGTGAAGAGCTTTGAGAGGCAGTTGAGAAGCGTTAGAATTGAAGAAGAGGAGTAACTTCTTCATCACCTCCACAGATTCAGTTGAGACCAGTATCTCTCTCTACATGAACATTCATTCACAAATAAGTAAATAATGCCACTTTTCCTCGTCACTAAACTAAAAACAAGCCGGATTCTAGATGAACAACATTTAATGGTATCGATACTATGCATGAAAGATAAAACATTTAACCGAATTCGTATCTTCTGTATGCAAACACGATTATGGCCGTACCCCGTAATCTGAAAGGAGAAAACAAAAGAATTCCGACTACCGGAACATCTTTGTCAAGTATCTGATCAACCCTAAATTTGTTAACAGATTATCTGTTCAATTTTCAAAGATTAAAGTGACAATGGCACTGCCTATAATGAGAAAAACTGACATGATGCATACAAGTCTCCCCAGAATTTGAACTTTTATAGTAGCCGGTCTACACGATTAACCCTCAAGAAGAACAAAAAGAAAAATAAATAAACAGATTTTATGAGACTCCAAACCTTGAAATTCTTCTGCTCGTCATAATATCCTGAAACAATCACGAGCAGACGAAGTTTCTCCATTTCTGTTGTTTCATGGCAAAATGTTAGAAAAGAAAAGGAAAAAAAGAAGAGAAAATATTGTTAAATAATTTTGGGAAGAGGAATCTGAGATGGAATCAACAATGATGGGGGTGCTAAGAGCTATAACTAGGAGCATGGTGTTAAATCTGGAATCCTTGAATTAAAGGCCTCAGGTTCCCATAAAGCAAAGCACTAAAGAACTCATCCGATAATGTACCATGTAGCCAACATGCATAGAAAATGTAGATAACTCACGCTGAAAATGCTTTATTTCCCTAGTTGAGGCATCGCCATGTGCAAGAAGCTGCTCCACTGAAATGCCAACAGAACTCATTCCAACACGCGAAACCATCCTCGAACCAACATTTTCTTGCTTGCCTGGTTTAATAACATAAAGCTAGTGGAATGCAGTTGAAAGGAAAATACAGACAAATATTCATGCATCCACAAGAAAAATAATCTCAAGAACAATCATTTCTAACTAGGAAAAGCCAATCATAGAGCTAAATTGGCTTGTATAACTGCATGTGTACTGTAAAAACAGATAAGATTGCATCATGCAAATTTATTACCTTAAAAACAAATCACTATCATATCTGTTTAAAACAGACTCTCTATTTTGTTTTTTTAAATTTCTTCTCTCTCACAATAGATACTTCACCAACAGGGGTGTCTTTTTTGGCATGTCCTTACTAAAGTACTTAATAGTTTAATTCAGTTTCGGAGTATAGATGATTCTGGTTATTTGGGTATCTCTAGGTTTATTGAAGTTGTCTGTGAAAACTTGAAAGCTAGTGATCTTAATATCCTAAACTATGTAGCAGGAAATAGCTTTTCTCTGTTTTTTTTATCTCCTTGTATTGTCATACCTATGCTCCATTTGGATGGTAAGGTGGAAGGGACTCCAATCGGCCACCCAAATGGAGCATTCAAATGCAAGTACATACCTACTCTTGTCCACTTCTTGAAATCTTTTCCCAAAATTTCAGCTACTCTCAGGTCAGAGACATCATATAGTTTATACCGCACTGCAAATCATGAATTGTAGATCCAAATATTAGCCTACAAGTGTAAAGAATACCTGAACATGGAGAGATATTGGAATATTTTCATTTTCTCATTTGAGGAGAGAGTAAATGGAGGAATTAGGCAGAAAAGAACTAACATATCTGGTATAGGCCACTGCATCCAAAACGACCAGCACCATTGAGCAGCAATGTAGCCATGTATTTATCCTTGGTGGTAGAATCAGGGCTTGAGAGATTCCCAGTGTCTAACAGGATGCCAGCTAACTACACAAAAAATTGAAGGTAAAATTTTTATCTTCTCATCATTTGGCTGTCTTTGATGACAATTTCATTTACAACTACTAATATCATTTCTTAGAATCACCTGTAACAACTAGAAATAAAATTCAGAAAATCACTTGGGCTTCTATCATTTTTGCTACTTGATTTTGGAAGCAAAAAAGTGAAATTGTGCTTGTACTTTGGGGCAAAACAGCATTATCGGATTACCAAAAAGTTAAAATTCCATTCCCATGGATATACAGTTTTAGCGCTTAATAATGCTTGTACTTTGGCAATCTTTTAACTGAGAACTGCCAACATTTGTTGATAAGTAGTAGTTGATACTGGAAAACAGTTAAGGGCTAGGCATGATGCCCAAATCCACTTTTAGCTCTTAATTTTGGACCTACTATTTTAAGTTTTATTAAAAAGTAAGTTAAATGTTTACAGCTAAACATGTTAATCACAAAGAACAAACAACCTTTGATTCAATTGCTTGTGAAATGCAAGTGAATGCTCTTTTTTAATGAGCTGGTTTCTTCCATAAACATACCACCCCTCTTGATTAATTTAAAAGATAAATCAGAAAAGAATAGTTAACGCTAGAATATAGAAAATCATAAGGACAGAGTGCAGAAAAGGAAGTAAGCATTTAGAAAATTCATAAGAAATTGCAATATGTACCAGAAGTCGGCTGAATCCTTGTAATGCCAAAATCGGAGGCGAGGTCATTGCAAATGTTTCAGCAATAAGCGTACAAGATGAGCATTCCTGCATACATTTATGCTATTAAACAACAAGATCCTCAGACTTTCCTATAACACCAGAATATATATATACATTTATTAAAAACTTTACATGTAACCCACAAGACAAACAATGAAAACCAACTTAAATCATAATATGAAATTATGAATAGATAATAATTGAATAATATAAAATCACACAATGTGAACTCTCCTGCCAGACCTGCCCCACTGTGACTTTCTCAACCCAAGGGTACACAGATTCAGCCTGTAAATAGAAAGTGAATATCTGTTATTCAAATCTTCACATTCACAAACACACAAAAAGCATGAAGTCAGCCATATTCTGTTGTCTATGTACCTTTTTGCTGTTAAAGATTTCGATGACTGATTCTTTTAGTGCCTGTACAAAGGAAACAACATACATCATTTCTGATGGTCAACAAGTAAGTCAAATTTTGGTCGAAATATTACCTCTTGTTTACTTGGAAGCTTGGAACCATTTAACAGAACTAGCTTAAGACTCCCAAACAAGTCATAATAAGATAGATCAATCTGTCCAGCATTTCACATCAAGAAGAAATGTTCTTAAAGCTGAGCATTAAACTTGAATTGTATTTTGAATTTTTTACAAACAAGGTATCTCTGACATGATATGAAGATGAAAGAATAGAACCATAATACTCAGATATTCAAACCTAGGCATTTAATAGCTTTTAGAACTTGAGAAATATTTCATGTATTCTCTTTCGAGACAGTTACAGGAATTACATAAACCAAATGATAGATATGAACATTTTATCAAACTGAATCAGATGTTAAGAAAATTAGCTTCACAAAATTCAAAGCAGAACATCGTTAATGTAGGAATTCCATCAGTTGAGTTGAACGTACTTCGTCAATAAAGATTAAGGATGACTGATCGATTTGACTAGAATCCAGCAACCATTTTAATTCAGCATGTGAGTTGAACTCTGCCCTCTTTGTGTTGATGACAGGAACAGTACAGAACTGATCATTTCCTAGTGTTTCATTCAAGTAATAGGCATACATGATTGCTGAAGCAACAGATCCAACATCTGAAAATTGAAAAATACGATATCAGAGTAGCAAGTTCATTACAAAACTTGAATGACAATCTTACTTAGAACGCAAGCAACTTTATTGTAATAATTATTAGATCTGAGATTTCCTCCTTTTTTTAACAATTATTTTATTCTTACATTTTCCAAATGAATTTATCTGTTTTTGGTTTTTAATCAAATCCTTTGGAATCAAGACCTAAAGGATTGCCATTTGATCATGGAGACCGACTCAAGTGAGATTCCTAAACTCTATGAACATAAATAAGTACTTAAAATGAGAATGAAAAGTGCATTCTAAGTAAGGATGCTTTACATATTAGGAAAAATTATAAGGTTTAGGTTTATGAATGAAATGATGCTTGAAATTGGCAAAGAGAAAAACCAACATGTAAAGAAGGGAAACCACTTTAAATTAAGTCACAAGGCAGAAGCATGTTTGAGGCCAAAGCTTAAGCTACATAATCAATTACTGCTTCATGCACATAATTAATGATTGGGTTTATACTTCATAAATCAAACAAGTAAAATTGCTTCTGTCTAGTCCTTTGTTAGAAGCAAATGAAGCAGAAAAAAGTTATAGCCCTGGCAAAAACAAATGATAAGACTTCAGAACTTATATAAGAGAAGACAACAGAAATTCACCAGGGACATCTTGCCCAATAACAGCATGAAGGAATCTTCCTGGAACACCAGCATCAACCTCATCCCTTTTCGATTTGAGAAATAAATTAAGCCTGTTAATGTTTTCACAGGATTCTACAATTTCCATTCGTGTTGAATGTCCTGTAAAAAATGAAGCCGCAGACTGAGGAAGTGGGATGTTTGACAAGCTTGCTCTTTTTTTCATAACCTTGTATGACTTTTCAAGTACAGGCCTCATCAGGGAAGGCACAGAACACTCAAGTGAGTCATTCATTAAATCACTTGGATAACCCAATTGAAAGCCTGACTCTGAGTGAATGTCTGGGAGGGCAGATGCAGTTGGTATTACAGCATTTGACCAACTCTCCTTCGATGCTCGGCTACATGGTTGAAGAATAGCATCCGAGACTGAATCATCTAATAGTGATTCCATGGACTTTTCAGATATATGCAAATCAAGGTTTTTGCGCCCTGAATCACTGATTTCTGATGTAGACCTCGAAACCTTCTGGACATTAGAAATTCTTCCAAAGTCATAGTTAGAAGATTCATCCTTTAAAGCACCATCTACTAACAGACCATCAGAGTAAGCATTCTCTTGGGTATGAATATATGGTTTCTGTCATATAAGAAAAGAAAAAGGAATTTGGAACACGGAAGAAATCTACTTGGAAAAAAGAACACTTAAGGAGATGTTAGAATCATTAACGTCATAACCATTGAAGCCATGATATTCATGACATGAAAGCTAAAAATCAGTCTATGATCTTACATGAGATGAGAATCAATAGCAGCTACTTGACTAACCATTTTCAGGTAGAAGGGAAAGAAGAAGCAGTAAGTACTCAATATAGTATTGAGGATAGATGGCTAGTTAGTTGTTAATTTTCATCGTTTTAACTTCTCACCATAATGAATAATTTTCTATTTCTTAGACACTACTTAGGGAGATAATCAAGCCATGGATAGCACCTTCTTAGTTGTCAACTTTTCAGTAACTCCGGCGTGCAACAAATGTATATATAGATTAGGCCTGTAAACGAACCGAACGCACACGAACGGAGGTATGTTCATGTTCCTTCATTTAATAAATAAACGAACAAGAACATAAACGAACAAAATATTTTTTTGTTCATGTTCGTTCATTAAGGAATATAGCTTGTTCATGTTTGTTCATTTAAATGATAAACGAACATAAACGAATACAAACGTACGAACATAAACGAACAACACAAACACAAAAAGTAAACTTATTTGAATACAACAAGTGAATGTAAAAAAAGTAAACAACAAGAATAATAACTTAAAATTCATTAATATAACCTGAAACTTTAGAGTTAATTTGTTCGAATACGATAAAAACATACATAAATCATATATAAGCTATATGAACATAATAAAATCTTAAAGTTAATTTGTTCAACAAAACAATCTTCTTGAAATTCAAACAACTTCAATAATCTTCGTAACATATTCAACTTGACCTCTGTTCGAACATAAATAAATGAACATAAATAAACGAACATATAATCGAACGTTCACGAACGTAAATGAACGAACGAAACAAACCTTTGTTTATGTTCGTTCATTTAATTAAATGAATGCAAAATCTTATTCATGTTCGTTCAATGAACATAAACAAACTTTCGCACGGTTCATGAACGGTTCGTTGAATGTTTCAGTTCATTTATAGGTCTAATACAGATAAAGTGAGAAGGAAATGGTAAACATCAATGTAATACAAGACTTACATCTTGCGGCAACGACTAAGTTACACGATCATATCATATCGCTATTATATCCAAAATGAAGAAAAAAATATGTAAAAGCAAACAAACCTGAGTGGGTGGTTGGGAGGAGGTCATGGTGGAGAAGAAGATGCGTGAAAAAGTGAAAGGAGAGATGGGTTTTGAGGAGGAAGTGAAAGGGCGGAAGATTCGAGGAAACAAAAGAGAGGAGAAGACGACATTTTGAAATACGTTGTGGAGTCCGCCATGAACATTACGTTTAACTCAAACTCAAATGTTATCTAAAAACCATCGATGGCCGTTCCTATTCAACTCCTACTACTCTCCCTCTGCAGGCGTCACACGTTTCAAAAATCACCAGCGCTTCTATTCTACTCGTAGGTAAGTTTTACGGTGCAACATTCTTAACATATTACGTTAACGGTTTTGTTATTATTTAAATAAAAAAATTAATAAAAAAATTATTTAAAATATTATTATTTCTATTTAAAATATCAATGTTTTTACTGGAATATGAAATATGATCAACGACAAACAGACAACCAACCAGCTGAGGTTTTGTTATTATTTTTTTTTAATAAAATCGATAAAATTTACTGAAAATATTATTATTTATACCTAAAATATTAATGTTATTAATATTTTCGATAAAATGCCCAATAATAACAAAATTGGTAGCGCTTTACCAAACCCGGTAAAACGTCCAATAATAACAAAACCGGTAGAAATAATAATATTTCTGGTAAATTTTATCGGTTTTGTTAAAAAAATAATAAGAAAATCAATAACGTCTTTTTTAACAGTATATTAAGGCCTTTTACTTTTTTTCTTCTTCTATTAATCCAATTCAAATACGGGCTTTTCACGGTCTTTCTTATCGTTTGAAGCATTTTTGATAAAAAAAAATCAATGATGTTATGACTTATGAAAAAAAATTAGTTTATTCGAAGGGGTGATAATTATTTTTTGAAATGAAGTGTTTTTTATATTATTTTAAAATATTTTAAAAATATATAATACAGTGGGAGCACCAAGTCAAGTAACGTAACAAAGTAGAAAATATTATGCCTTTCAGAAGTTTTTCTAAAGACATTAAACAGTTCATGCATCTTCCAGGCGTTTTTCCCGAAAAATCATCTTTTTAATTTAATATTTTCGATCAGGCACCAGTCAGACTATATTTCCCGATCTAACACCCTTTGCAGTAAGGCGTGCTATACGCTGATTTGGCATCACGTGGGGTAAGACGCGCCTTATGCTGACATGGATACACGTGTGTATGGCGCGGGGCAGGTTGGTAATTAAGGGTATAGCGCGGGGCAGTGGTCGCGCCTTACCTGTGATTCTGACACGTGTCAGAAAGGCGCGATCCTTGCCCTGTGCTATACCCTTAATTACCAACCTACCCCCGCCCGTTCACACCCATCCCTCCCTTTAAATACCCCCATTCTCAATCACTTTCATCACACCAAATCCTCTCAACTTCTCTCAAATACTTTTATATTCTCTTATTAAGGTATATTTTATTATATTTAGTATTTTTTAGTAATTTATTTAATTGTTTTAATTGTTTAATATTTTATTTAATTAATTTTTTTTGCATATATAAAATGGAAGACAGTCTACTTTGGTTGGATGGAAATCATATATCTCAACACTTTGCTGATACAATAACATTTTAACATTTTAATTTAATTAATTAATTAATTAATTTAATGCATGATTATTAGTTTAAAAATTAATTTGTGTAATTATTTATATTTTAGGAGAGAGATCGTATATTAGATCCTTTTATTAGGAACCTTAAGTTAGTTATACCTACTCGTGTAATGTCGTATTTAGTAGAGGTTGGATTCGGTCACCTAGGTAGATATCAGGGTCACTGTAAGATAGAACCAGACCTTATTTCTGTCTTAGTAGAGCGGTGGAGGCCGGAGACCCACATATTCCATCTTTCGTGCGGAGAATGCAAGATCACGCTTGAGGATGTTTCTATGCATATGGGGCTTCCGGTGGATGGAGGTGTAATATCAGGGATAACTTCCGGTTCTTGGACTACTTTGTGTCGGGTTAGTCTAGGACGTGTCCCGGAAAATTTTAACGGTGGACGGATACCGCTAAATTGGTTAGATGCCAATTTTCGGGAGTTGAGCGAGGACGCGTCTGACGATGAAGCTAAACAGTATGCACGGGCATGCATACTGCAGCTGATAGGAGGGTTGCTGATGCCGGACAAATGGCATAACCAAGTTTACTGTATGTGGTTGCAATATCTTGGCGACTTTCATCTGGCCGGATCACTCAGTTGGGGCTCGGTAGTTTTGGCTTGCCTGTACAGAGAGATGTGTCGAGTCATTGACTACAGGCGTAATGCTATCGGCGGATGTCTCCTGCTGCTGTAGTCTTGGGCATGATATCGATTGCCCTTTTTATGTCCCGTCGTGAAGAACCCATTCGTATTTCCACTACTCCCGAGGTAATTATAAAATTGATTTCGTATATTAATAATTTTATAAAGCGTATAATAAATTTTTTCCTTGAATAGGTGGTCTACTGATAGGAAAAATCATCAAGAGCTACCTGATGATTTAGAAAAAATTAAGGTGCTAAATTAGATTATTATTTTGATAAAAATTATATATATTTGTTTTAGTTTGAATTGGTGCCATATTCTACTGATGATGTGAGGGCGGTGATCCCACCTGAGTTGAGGGGCCCATAAGATGTTTGGATGTCGATGATTCCCTTGATCTGTTATGCGACCGTCGAGAGACACTCCATTGATCGCGTGCTCCGACAATTTGGTTGTTTTCAACCAATTCCGGAAGTAGCTCACAATATGGACGAGTTGCATAGCACAAATAGATGTGGCAAGACAGATTGGCTGGTGAGGCATCATGAGTGGGTCGTGTTGTGGGAGGATCGACATCGACGTCTTCCCCGTAGAGAGCCCATTTTTGATGACCTCTTGATGGTTACTGACGGTTATTATGAGTGGTTCAACAGTAATGAGAAACCGTTTCTGCTTCCCGATGATGCACGAGGGCAGACCTTTCCGCGACGTCGACAGAGACGTTCACCGATATAGCACCATCGTCCCTCGACTCGTGGACGGAGAGCAGGTGCTTCCGGTTCATCCTCAACTGCATCAACAGGACCTTCACAGTAGCCACAGAATCCACCGACTTACATACCGCAGCCATATATGATGCCGCCACCGCCTTTCCATTACAGATACCGCATCCGCCGCCTTCACCTGGTTTTATGACCCCGCCGCCGCTACCGTCATATATGACCCCTCTTGGAGGCTATTATGGGTCTATGTTTACAGATCTGACTTGGGGTTCATATACCAGATATTTGGTGGGTTCAGCCTCATCACCTATAGCCGCAGCACAGACACCTCCTGTACAGTTTTCACACTCAGCGATGTCTGGGTTTTATGAGTTTTCCCATTTTTCGCAGGCCGGTGGGATAGTCAGTCATACACCTCGAGGGTCCTTATTTTATGGTGGTGCTTTATCGTCATCAGCTCCTCATCAACCTAATGTACCTACTCAGGAGGAGGAGGAGGAGGAGGAGGACGACGACGACGACGATGATGACAGCGAGGAGTCACAACCAGTGATACGAAGAAATCCTCCTCGAGACCGACAGCCACCGCCTTACGAAACACATTCGCGTCGCAGACATCGATAGATTTTGTTTTTTATACTTGTATTTAGTACTTTTTTATTGTAGTTGTTTATTGGACTTTTTTATTGTAATTTTTTTATTTATCATTTAATACTTACTTTGTTAATTTATCATTTAATATAAGTTATTGTAATTTGGTTATCATTTATCATTTAATACTTATTGTATCGTT